CAGGGTCGGGGCTCCTGAGGGCCCGAGAAAGGGGATAGGTCCACATCCCCTTGAGGCCATGCTGGGGCCCACTCACCTTTGGGGAAAAAGTGATGGAAAAGAATCCGCAGGGAGCTCTTCAGATGCCTCCAGAGCTGAGGGAAGCAGGGGAAGGGGGACCCCGGACGCGTGGTGAGCCCTGCAGCCCAGCCCTTGCTTGGCCACATCCCAGCAAGCCCTCCCGCCTCAGCCCCTTTTGAACCCCAGGGCTCCCCCAACCCTGTTGCCCAGCCCCCGCCCTGACCAGAGTCACCACATTGATCCCCACGTTGAGCAAGATGAAGCTGCCCAGAATCAGAAGGATTGAGTCTCCTAGGTCCTGGCACTTCCTGGGGTTGGTGCCAGAGCATACTTGGGCTCCGTGGTGGGCTCGCTCACCCATGGCCGGGGGTCCCAGGACCACCTGGGCACCCCCTGGCCCCCACATACTCACTAGGAGCCAGACTCCTCTGGTGGGGGAGGGGGAGAGGGACTGGGTCACAATGGGGTGGGTGTTGGGGTCACAATGAGGGAGGGGAGGAAAGGGAGGGCCTGGGACGGTCTGTCCTAAGTAACCAGGTTCTCGTAACCTGAGTCCCCAGAGTCAAACGGGGCCGGAAGCCAGCACGCCTGCCCTGTGGCCCTCATTCGAATCTCCTTCATTCCCTCACTGCCCCTGCCTCACTCCCTCAAACACTCACACAGTCCATCCCTTCGGCTACTCCTAAGGCTGGGAGGACCTTGGCCTCAGGGCCTTGGCCTTCTCCTTGCCCTCCCTGGGGCCGTGGCCCTGGATCTAGGCAGAGGGAGGCCTGGAATCTGACCTCACCACGTTGTGTGGGGCCGAGCCTCTGAGCCCACTTTCAGATCGGGGAGGGCAGATGCCCAGAGCAGGTGCTCAGGGACAGATGGTTTGGTGTCTGCAGCTGCAAGACCTCCTTAGGGCACGGGGCGGGAACCAGGGTCCTGCGGGGGGGGGGGGGGGGGCTGGGGGCCTGTGGCCACAGCCACGCAGAGCCTGGTGCCGAGAAGCCGGGACCCAGGCTGACAGAAGAAATGGCCCTTCCAAGGCCCAGAACACACCACAGTGTTTCCTGGACTCCGTTGCTCTTTATTCCTGTCTCTGCGCCCCGCCCGCCACCCACAGTCGCCACGTGGTCAGTGCACCTTCCCGGTCCGGCTCCTGTGCACGGAGGGCCTCGAGGCGGAGGTGGATGGCGGGGGCAGTGAGTTGGCCCGCGCTCGGCTCTCCTGCACCTGCCGCTTCAGCTCCAGGCTGTCATAGACCTGGTAGCCCGTAGTGCCCCCGGGGTTCCTGCTGAGCGGCAGGAAGGTGGGCTGGGGTTGGGGGACCTCGGGAGCCTGGACTTCGGGCGGGGGCTGGTTGGAATGGGGGAGCAGGGCCGAGCTGGGGCCCGGGGCCCGCTGGTAGGAGGTCCCGGCCAGCATGGTGAGGGAGGTGGAGGCCGTCAGAGGGTGCCGGGTGGGCAGGGCCTCAGCCCATTCGGCGGCCCGGCGCCGGACCTCGTGGGGTTCCCGGGAGTTGTAGCTCAGGTGGCCCGTGGATGGGTGCGGGCTGCGGGTGGGCTGGCCGTAAGCGTGGCCGTGGCCAGGGAGGCTCCGCCGGTGCGCCTGGGGGGAGCCCCGGGGCACCAGCGTGAGCGGAGGCTCAGAGCCCTCCAGGCCCCGCCGCTGATCCCAGGAGTCCTGGAGTAGCTGGCCACTCGACGGGTAAGGGTCATACCCCGCGGGGACCCAGGAGGGATTCGGGGGCAGCCGGCGGAGAGCGGGCAGAGACGAGGCCCCCTGCTCTGCCTCCATAGTGCCCCAGATTCGGGACTGGGAGCAGTGGGGCCCGTAGGACTGCAGCCTCAGCTCCGACTTGGCCTCCACACGCTTGGGCATGCGGCGCAGCTCGGGTGACAGGTAGAGGGAGGGTGGCGGCAGGCTGGCCAGGATCCCGCCCTGGCGGCCCCACAGCCCCAAGCTGGAGGGCAGGCCCATCTGCGGGTAAAGCCTGCCCCAGCCACCCCGTGGGTACTTGGGGAGCGGGAAGGCCAGGTCCTCCCCCTGCTCCACGTCAGAGTCCAGGTCCTCCTCGTCAAAGGAGGACACCGCCTGCAGCTGCGACATCTTGCGGCTGCGACGGTGGCTACGGAAGGCTGAGCGGTTGTGGGGGAAGCGCCCCTGGTTCTTCAGCCCCCACTGGTGGCCGTGGCACTGGCGGGGGCGGCGGCGGCGGCGGGGGCGGCGGGGGTTGCCCAGCCGGTGGTAGGAGGAAGAGGGGTAGCAAGTGGGCCGGGCCAGCTTCACTTCCACGGGCTCCAGGGTGCAGTGGATGTGGACGTCTCGGGCCTTGGCGGGGGGATCTTTGGTGGCACATTCGTGAGCCTGCAAGGTTTCACCTGGGGGCGACAAGTGTCCGTGAGGCTGGGGCGATTGTCGCAAGAGCTCAGGGTTGGGAACAGGGCGGCCTGGGTTTCTAGGGTTGTGCTGGTGGCGTTGGGCTGGGGTGGGGGGTGTGTGTGTGGGGGGGATGTCCCCGACCTCTCTTGCTGCCATACTTACTTTTCTGATTAATCCAACAGAGCATCTTGTCCAAGGCATTCTGGAGCCCATGCCACATCTGGGGGTACGGTGGGGTGGGAGTGAAGACCAGGAGGCTCTCTACCCTCCCCACACACACCCCACCCTGGCTCCCAGCCAAGACCACACGCTCCTGCAGGTGGAGGCTCCCACTCTCAGCCCTCTTCAGCCGCGGGGGCTGTCCCCCACCATCACTGACCACAGTTACCACGTTGATCCCAATGTTGACGAGAACTACGAGGCCCAGCAGCAGAAGCAGTACGTCTTCTGGATCCTGGAGGTGTCCCTGGTATTGATTGCAGCACCCCATGTTGTCGTACCAAAGCTGGTTTTCCATGGTGGGGGGGCCCTAGGGCCACCTGGGCCACCGCCCCCCCCACCAGCCCCGACCGCACTGTACCATGCCGGGACCTGGGGACACCCACCAGCAGGGGAGGGGGGTGGGTCATAATGGGGCACATGGGGGGGAGTCACAATGCAGAGGTGGCCACGCTTTTGTCCACTCGGCTTGCCCTTAAATGGCCATCTCTGCCCTTGGCTGCCGCTTAATGCGGCCCTGTCCCGGGATATCCCAGAGCTCATTCTTTCCGTGTCTCCACAGGGGCCTGCTTAAGCCACCACCTGATTCCTGATTTGAAAACATGGTCGCTATAGTTGTAGGACGGTCTTCACAGGGACTGAGTCGTCCATAAAGGATTTCCTCCATGTCATTGTTCTCTTGAGACATCAAGGCACCTTGTGCAGTTGGTGCCCTCCCCCTGTGCCTACTTGGGACCAGCAGCTAGGGTGACAGCAAGAGTCCCCTCCGGGGTCACCGCACTGTGCCATTCCCTCCCCGTCCTTCCCGTTTCCCCGTCATAATTCCTCTAGTACCTACCTTCCCCACCCCTTCCTGGCCAAGAATTGCAGCCCCAGGCCGTGTGGTCACCGAGCCCATTGGGCCCCTCGCTTCGGAGCAAGACTGACTTCCCGCTCGCCCCTGGTTGCTTGCCTCTGCCGGGGACCACCCCTGACCATGCTCTCTTCCCTTCCTAACCAACCGCCCTCCCACGGACCTAGCCCTCCAAGCTGGAAACCTGTTAGCTCCCCCCTTAAGAAAACCTCATGAAACGCACAAAGCACAAAATAGATGTAATTGTGGATAGGACAAAAGGAGCCTTCGTTCTGAAGCAGGTTCATCTCTGGGGGCCGTGGAAGTGGTGCCCTGGGGGCGAGTCATTTGTCTGCACTGCCGGTGAACAACTCGACAGAAATAAACCAACAGCCAGCAGGTGTTTCCCTCCGAGCCTCCAAACACATAGTAGGTGCTCGATACATACTCACTGGATGGAATCAACTTAAAATGATCAACAATGGGGGCGGAATGAAAGCGAAGGAAGCAGCAGGCTGATTCACAGAAGGCCTGCCTGGCCACGTTCCAGGAACGCATCTGCTACAGAAGGTGGGGTCCAGTTCCTTCGGCCTGGGCGCACCCCCGGGGCTTCCGGTTCCCGAGCCCTCGAGCGGCCGCGTGAGTGTGTCCATGTGCCCATGTGGGTGGGTGTGCGGGCGCGAGGCCGGCTCCCTGGGAGGAGGGTAGGGCCTGATTTTCCCGCTGCGTGTGGATGGCATGCTCCCGATGACTTCACATGGCAGACTGAGGCAGGGGGAGCCTGAGGGGCCAGGCTGACTCTGGAATGCAGTCTCCCTGCGGGAGCAGAGCCCAGAGCCTCTGAGGCCGCGTGGGGACTTGATCCCTAGTGTCTGTGTGACCGTGAATTAGTCACTTCCCCTCCCTGAGCCTCGGTCTCCTCACTGGTGACAGGCAGGTGCTAATCAGAGCAGTGAGGTCCCAGAGGGCAGCCCTCGAGAATGTCCCCGGTGTTTGGTCCTCTGCTCCGAGCCTGCTCGTGGGCACAGGAGCTTTGGGTCCTGACTGGGGAATTGTGAGGGCCTGGACACCCTCCCTCTCAGCCAGCCCTGCTCAAAGAAACCAGGGCTTTGGGGGGGAGGCCGGGGAAGCACACCACACCTGGCGGCTGCTGCCCAGCCCTGGGCTCCGGCAGAAACCAGGCCGCCGAGGGGCTAGGGCCAGGGGGGTGGGGTCTCCCCTCTAGTGCAGGCCTGCCTGAGGATCTGGGCTGGGATCTGGGGGGCTGCTCTGGGCACAAAAAAGAACAGGGGAGTGGCAGGTGGGAATGTCGGGACCCAGAAGGGGCTGGGAGAGAACTGAGGGCAGGGCCCAGGGAAGCCCAGGGGTTGATGAGGGTCCTTGGGGCTCTCGAGGTCCCTGTTGCCAGGGAGACCCTTCGCTGAGGGACCGGGGCCTCTGGGTGCTGTGTGGGCCCTGACTCCCCACCCCCCACACCACCGCAGACCACCTACCACCTCCTCTCTTCCTTTTATTTTTCTCCCAGTCACCTCTCTGCCACAGAACGGTATACCCAGTCCTTGCCCATGCCCTCAGCCACGTTGCTGGATGGGGAGCCCAGGGGGTAACAGTGGGACAGGGCCTCCACCTCGCGGGTCAGCTCCCGGAGCCGCCGCCTCACGTCTCGGGCGTCGTAGACCACGCGGCCCGAGGAGTGGCGCCGGGGGATGTCAGGGACAATGGCCGGGCCCCGGAGGGGCGGCAGGGCTGGCGGGGTGGGGGCACACCGTTCCGGCTCGGCCTGGGCCCCCGCCCCGCTGTTCTTGTGGCTCAGGGCCTGTGGGCCTGGGGGCGGGGGGTTCACCGGGTACACGTAGGCCTCGAGGCCCAGCTCTGACCGCATCTCCCCTTTGAGGGGCCTTCCTCCTATGGTCTGCTGGAAGCGAATGGTCTGGGGCGGGGGCTCCACGGCATCCTGGGGCCAGGGAGCCCAGAACCTCTGGCTGGACTGGAAGCCCTGCCAGTCTGCCGGCTGATCCCAGTGGTGGGAGCAGACTGCCGGGTGCTGGTGTGGGGGCTTCTCGTCGTCGTCCATTTCGGGGGCCCAGGCTACTGGGCGGTGGGCACGGCGGCCTGAAGGGCCCCGGGGGCGGGGGCGGCGAGTGGGTGGGGGGGTCACGGTCATTTTCACAGGGTCCATGGTGCATCGGAGGTGGACTGCAGGGGCGCTCTGCCTCGGAGGCTGGGGCTGCTTCCCCGGTGAGGATGACTTAGAAGCTTCTGTGGATCAAGGAGAGGCGGGAGGCTGGTGGGGAGGCTGGCTCCTGAGGGGACGGGGTGGGGAGGGGGTGGGGGTGTAGGGTGCAGGGGCAGAGGCTGCCCCGCTGCGGTGTCTGAACGGGGAGGGCGGGAGGGGAAGGGGCCAGCTCCGGGCCAGCGCTAGAAGGCCGGGTCCCTGCCTCTTCTGTGCCCCCAGCCTCCCCCGCTTACCTTTCTCATAAACAATATGGAACACTTGGTGTAAGAAGCCACGGAGTCGGCGCCAGAGCTAGGTGAGGGAGGACACAGTGAGCCCGGGCCGGCCCGGGCCACCAGGCGTCCCGCCGCCGCCATCCTGCCAGTGCCCTCCCGCCTGGCCCCACCCTGACCAGCGTCACCATATTGATGCTAATATTAATGCAGATGATGAGGCCCAGGAGCAATAGGATGGAGTTGCCCAGGTCCTGACAGCTGTTGGTGTTGGAGCTGTGATACGAGGCCCACCCGGGCCGTGGCCGCTCAGCCATGGCCATGGGGGTCCCTAGGGCCACCGGGGCCCCTAGGCCCCCAGCCTACTGTGCCCACAGTATCCACCAGGCCGCCTGCCTCCCTGCCCCAGGGGCTTCTGGGGGGTATGCGGGTCACAATGATGCCGGGCTCTCCCTCACAATGTGCCAAGAAACAAAGTCTTGGGCGTGGTTGACCTTCCAGCCTGGGCCCAGGCCTCGAGAGGCCGAACCCTGCACCTGGCACTGCTGTCCCTGTAACCAGCCACCTGGACTGGCCCCCACGCCCCCTGGCCTGTCTGGTATCTGCCCCCATGAGCCCCTGGCCATTCCTTCTCTACACCAGCCTCAGGCCTCTGCACACACCTGGGCCCTGATCGGAACTCCCCCCACAACCCTGCTACCATGGCAACCTTACCCCAGCACCCACTCCCCCCTTTCTCCCGGCGCTCCAAGCCGCTCCCTGAAATGGGCTGTGGGCTCGGACCACCTCCCTCTCCCTCACTGGTGGAGTGGCGGCCCTGAGGTTTAGTTCCTCGGATCCCCCCACCCACACACCCCCCATCACAGCAGGCACAACCAACAGTTAAATTTTTATATTTACAATATTCTCTTCATCTTTTGCCAGGTTTAAAAATGTGTACAGAGCCGCGAAGGGTTGGGGCAGGGACGTGGGATTGTCTGGGGATGGTTCTGGGGAGAGGGGCTGGGCATTGGAGTCCGTGGCTGAATCATGGGGTCCCCCAGCCCCCCTCCCATGCCCCAGTCTGGGGGGGGCATCTGTCTACAGGGTTCAGGGCCCAGGTCCCTAGCATTTCGAGGGCATGGCTGTTTGGAGAGGAGCTAGATCAGGCAAGGGAAGGGGTCAGAAAAGAACTAAGTTTCCCTGGAGGAAGGTAGGAGAAGGGACAGAAGGCAGAGCTCTGGGGAGCCAAGACCAGGGCTCCCGGATTTGGGTGTCAGTGGAAGACAGCCCCCCCCCACGCCCTACTCAAGTTTGGCACTAACGCGCCCGCACAAGGCCAGCCTCTACTGGAGTCCCTTAAAGCCCTTCCTGATGCCGTCCTTTTCCCCAGAGGCCAAACCCTTTCTCCTCAGGCGGTTCCTCTCCGGGGCAGTCACCCCGCACGCGTGTCCTTTCAAATTCTCCCTGCTGTTGCCTCCCCGGGCCCCGTCCCCCACTGCCCCCTCCATGTGTCCCCCAGCACCGCTGAGCTCATTCTCTCCGCAGCCTGTCCCGGGAGGCCTTTCCCCCCGTGCCCTCCTTCCACGGCTCCTTTCCTTCAGCCCTGGCGGCTGATGGAAGGGGGGCCTCGTCAAAGAAGGGGATGGGCGGCTGAGGGGAGGAGGTGCTCTGACGCTGACACAGGGTGGCTTCAAGGAGGGAGACGGAGATGGGAGGAGAGACACTGAGGCAGAGAGGGAGAAAGGGAGGAGAGACACAGGCGGGACCCCTTCCGCTGCCGTCCCCCATAACCCACCTGTCCCCACATTTACCTGTCCTGGCCCAGGACTGGGGGATCCTTGGCCCACTCTGGGGGTCCTCCCCGCCCCTCAAACCCACCTAACCCAGTTTGGCACGGATGAGCAATGGTCTGAGGATTGAGGGAAAAGCTGTCCTCAGACCCCAGTGAGGGCTTTGGTCAAACAGGCATGGCCTCTGTGGGTGGAATGCAACGCCCCCCAACTTGACATCTCTTGGGGGGGAGACAGGGGCAGAGCTCTGCCCCCAGGATTTGTGCACTCCCCCTCCACACTCAGCTTAGGTCAGTCGGAAGTCTGTCCCCACCTGCTGGGCGGGGAGGAGCTAAGTGCTAGGCCTCAGGCCCCGGAGCCCGGGGATTGCTGGCGGGAAAGGGGCCGTCTGCATGGGAAAACACACATCCACATGCAAGAACATGTTTCCACTCGGAGACGTGTGTCCTGGACCCGCGGGAAAACAAGTTCCCAGGCAGCACGGGGACGCACGCACCTCCTCCCTTACCCCCCGGCAGGAAATCCTACCCAGAGCACGGGCTTCATCTGACATACGCCATGGGGGAAACACATGCTTCGCTGGGGCAGAGGGGGTGTGGGGCACGGAGTGGGAGTGGGGGGGGGACACCACTGATTTCCTCGGCACCTTCCCAAGGGTCACTGTCCATGAACACACCACTTCCAGGGTCTCCATGGGGTGGGGAGGTGGGGGGAGGGGGGAAAGGCATGAGGGAACGGGATTCTGGGGTACAAATCCCCACAGGAATTCTTTTGAGGGGGCCAACATGTGTCCAGGGCGGCAAAAAAAAAACACCTCACCCTGCACATGGGAAAACACACCCCCTCGTGAGAAAGCAGGCCTCCACGTGGGCAAACACGTCCGAGTTTCCACACACCGAAGACTGGTGTCCCAATGGAGGGCACGAAACACCCCCCCCGCTGTTCCGAGGCCCCGGTCCAGAGAGGAGGCCGGGCCGCTGGGCATGGGAAGGCCACGCAGCCTGGTGCGGAACCCCATGTCCACCCAGCGCTCCCCGCCGTGGGGCACGTCCGGAGCGCGCGGGAAGCCTGGGGCCGGTCCTCCTTCCCCGCCTCCTGAGCCGCGCGGCCCACCGGCGGCGGCGGCGGCGGCGGCGGGCGGGGAGGGCTGGGGAGGAGGGCCTCCCCCCCCAGCCGCCCCCTATACCCGAGTGGTGGAGTGGGGGTGCGGTAGCGTGTTGTTGTGGCTGGTAGCGGTGGGGGGCGGCGGGGGGAAGGGCCCGAAGGGGTGGAGGGAGGGGGGCGGCGGGGGCGGCGGGGGCCCCAGGCCGCTGGGCAGCAGGGTCAGGGCCCCGGGGGCCAGCAGAGGCACATCGTCCGGTGCCCGGCGCAGGGCCAGGGTGTAGTCGGGCGGGCAGGCGGGGCGCAGGGCCTCGGCGGGGTCCGCCCCGACGCCCCCGGCCCGTTTCAGCTGCAGGGACACCAGCTCCTCCTCGGGCGGCAGCTCGCGGCCGGCGGCGGGGAGCAGGGGGCCCCCGCCGGGCACCCCGGAGCCCGAGCCGCCGGGGGGGCTGAGCCGCCGGCACCGCAGCTCCTGCCGCCGGTCCCGCTTGTAGTAGAGGGCGGCGAAGGCGAGGATGTTGAGGAAGAGGAGCGAGGCGCCCACGGCCACCGTGACGCTGAGCTCGGTGGAGTAGTCTCGGGAGTCCCCGGGGAAGCGGTCGTAGGCGCGCGGGCCCGGCTCAGGCTCGGGCTCCGGCGGCAGGGTGGCGGGCGGCGGCGGGCGGCGGGTGCCCGGGGCGCCGGGGGGCGGGCGCGGCGGCCAGCGCGTGGCGTAGGGGGGCAGGCGCGTGGTGGTGGTGAAGAGCTCCGTGTGCAGGTTGTGCAGGTGCGGCACGAGCTCCAGCCAGAAGGCCACCTTGTTGGCGCGGTAGTTGTCGCGCACGCGCGGCTTCAGGCCGATGTGCAGGTACTGCTTCTCCTTGCTGTTGAACTTGCTCCACACCACCTCCTCGAAGCGGTTGGGCTTGGTGTGGATGAACTTGGTGTCCTGCGGCACCGGCTGGTTGGGGTCGCTGCGGGCACAGGAGGGGGGGGAAGGAGAAGTGAGGGGGAGGCCCCCTGGGGGGGGCGGGGGAGGGTGTGTGTGGGAGGGGGGGCAGGGAGACGCACGGAGATGCAGAGATGCAGAGATGCAGAGGGCCAGGACACAGAAGGAAAGCCTGAGAACAAGAGAGAGGCGGAAGAGACAGAAACTGCCCGAGACAGGCAGAGGTGAGGGCGGAGGGGCAGAGACGGGCGGAGGTGAGGACCAAGGGGCAGAGACGGGCGGAGGTGAGGTCGGAGGGGCAGAGACGGGCGGAGGTGAGGACGCAGGGGCAGGGACGGGCGGAGGTGAGGACGGAGGGGCAGAGGTGAGCACGGAGGGGCAGAGGCGGGCGGAGGTGAGGACGGAGGGGCAGAGGTGAGCACGGAGGGGCAGAGGTGAGGGCGCAGGGGCAGGGACGGGCGGAGGTGAGGACGCAGGGGCAGGGACGGGCGGAGGTGAGGTCGGAGGGGCAGAGACGGGCGGAGGTGAGGACGGAGGGGCAGAGGTGAGCACGGAGGGGCAGAGGTGAGGGCGCAGGGGCAGGGACGGGCGGAGGTGAGGACGCAGGGCCAGGGACGGGCGGAGGTGAGGTCGGAGGAGCAGAGGCGGGTGGAGGTGAGGACGCAGGGGCAGAGATGGGCGGAGGTGAGGACGCAGGGGCAGAGATGGGCGGAGGTGAGGACAGGGGCAGAGACGGGCAGAGACATAGCCGGGGAGAGAGGCAGAATCTGAGCCTGAGTGAGACAGACACACTTAGGAACAGAGGCACAAAGACAGGAGACAGCCAGCCAGGTGAGACCAGCGAGCAAAAAACCAACCGATGGAGAGAGTAGAGGGAAAGGCAGAGGTATCAGTGGATTCGAAGAGAGAGATGTAGAGACAGAGACAGACACAGACACAAATCCTTACCCAGATACACAGCCCAGGGCATCAGACAGAGAGCAGAGTGCCAGGAGAGACAGACCCGGAGCCAAAACCACCGAGGGAGCCGCCCCCCGCCCCCGGAAGGACAGGACCCTCTCTGACACTGGTCAATCTCCAACGGGCAGCCCAGTGCCTGGCACAGAGAAGGTGTCCAGCAGGTGTCTGGGTCGGGAAGGCAGTGATGGAGGAATGACCGTGTGAGGAGTGAGGGACAGGGCGCCGAGGATGCAGGGCGTGTGTGCCTTGGCCTGCGGGGGGGGGGGAGACCCCACCCAGCCCCGCTGACCCTCACCCAGTCTTGGCGAAGTTGGTCCAGTAGGTCATGACCACAGCACTGAGCATGACGTCATTCTTGGAGAAGTTGCAGGGGAAGAGGTCGGTGGCGCCCACCATGGGCACGCCAAAGACGTAGGGCAGCTCGTCCCCATGCGCTGCGTCCGCCCACTCGGGCCGGCCCTCAGCCTGGCAGTGGTGGTAGAAGGTATAAAAGTAGACAGGGGACTGGTAGTCGGCGTGCAGCTTGGCAGTGGCCACAGCCGGTGCCACCCACTGGTGGTCTGTGAAGAGCGCCAGCAGAGTCTTTCTCCGCATCTCGCCGTTGTCCCGGTCGGCCCAGTCGGTGTACATAAACTTGATGGTCTCCCGAAGCACGTCCTTGCCCTCCGGGTAGCCGTACAAGTTGTCCACAAAGTTGGAGACGGTGAAGTCAAAGGCGCTGGCGGACACGCCGTCCTCGCTCTCGGCCGAGTCCTCTACGAACTTGAGGCCTTCTCCTTGGTTGACGCCAATGAGCATGTCATAGTTGAGGAATTCTCCCTGCTGCATGAGGATCTCAGGGTCATCGGGGACGACGTCACCGTCCACCACGGGCCCGAAGGCGATGTGGTAGCTGGGGAGAAGGGGTCAGGGTCTCATCACCTGCTCCCTGGCCTCCTCTCAGCTCCTAGCCTGCCGGGCCCTCTGCTCAGAAGACCCTTCCTTCTCCCCCGGGTCAAATCTCCTGAGTCCTTCAGGGCACTCAGCCTCTCGGGAAGTGTTCCCCGATGCGCTTCGTGGCCCCTTGTGCACCCTCGCTCTGTTTGGGTGCCTCCACGTAGGGCAGGCTCCCGAGGGAAGGAGGCAGGGCCAGCAGAGGGGCCTGCAGCCGGACGGAGTGCCCGCGGGCACCTCGCACCCTGAACCGCCTTGGAAGCAGCAAGGAGAGCAGCCTCCAGGCCCCGGCCCTCCCCCGCCCCCATACCGGGCGGGCTGCACGTCCTGGTCCACCAGCTCCCGGGAGGGCTTCCGGCGCAGGCACTCCACGGCCTCGGCGCTGTCCTCCCGGTCACAGCCCACTTTGGCGGCCAGCAGCCGCGTGTATTTGAGCGGCTGGTAGTTGACAGACCAGCTGGAGATGGCCGTGCCGCTCTGGGCGATGGCCTTCTGGAACAACCCTGGCAGGACAGGCGCAGGCTTCAGGCTGGGCTGTCTGCACCCAGGGTGGGAAGCGGGGGGGGGCGGCGGCGGGGAACCCGGTGGGGGTCAGCATGTGGGAACGGGGCCGGGAGGGGGCAGGCCGAGGCCTGGCTGGTACCTTCCGAATGGTGAGAGAGGATCAGAAGGTTGACGCACGAGGCCCCGGCCCCCGATCCAAAGATGGTGATGCGCTCGGGGTCACCCCCAAAGTGGGCAATGTTCTCACTGAGCCAGCGCAGGGCCTGGATCTGGTCCAGGAGTCCATAGTTGCCTTTTGCAGCCTGGTCCCCGGTGCTGAGAAAGCCTGGAAGCACAGGAGGAAAGGGGCTTCCTGGGGGTGTCTGAGCACCCTCGCCCCCTTTCTGGGCAGCTCAGTCCAGCCCAGAGGCCATTCTGTTTCTGCCGGGTCTAGAGGAACACCGCCCACCGGGCTCCCCCCGCAACGCGCCCCCCCCGCCCAGACCCCAGCCCCTTGAGTTGGCTGCCCACCCTCACCGAGCACCCCCAGCCGGTAGTTGAGCGTGGCCACGATGACGTTGCCATAGGCGGCCAGCACGGAGCCATCGAACATATTCCCGGTGCCCTCCATGTAGGAGCCGCCATGCAGAAACAGCATCACCGGCTTCTTCCCAGAGTCCCGGATATCTGCGTGGGGAGGGGGTGGGCGGCGGGCCAGGGTTGGGGGACAAGAACACAGTCAGACCAGCAGCAGCACCGCCCAGCTCCCAGGCCTGCGGAGGACCAGCCCGGAGCTCAGGGGACACGTCTCTCCCGTCCCTGGGGGGGCAAGACCGGATTCCCCTCCCTCCCTCCCCACGGAGCCCTGGCCGAAGGTCCCACCCCACCTCCTGCCGGCCTGCCCCGCGACACTTCTCCAAACGCCAGACAGGCCTTCCAAGAAGCCTAAGAGGTGGGGGGGACCCTCCCCAGGGCATCTGCTGGATCCAGGGGACGCCCTCCCCACACACACACAGCAAATCTCCTTCCTGCTCTGAGGCAGAGCAAACTCCCAAGGCGGGCTCTAGCGCTAGAGATGCTGGGAGGGTCCGGGTGGTTGCTCAGACTCAGGCCTTGGGTCTCAGGTCCACGTGGTAGCCTGGTCTGTGGGTGAGGGGGTGCCAGCCTAGGGTCCCTGGGGGCCTGGTCTCCTCCCCGCCCTAATTCCTTTCTAGGTCACCTCCCCAGTTACCATGGCAACCCCCAGCCTAATTACTGTGGCAGGAGGCAGGGTGGGAAAGAGCCTGCTTGATAAAGCCAGGGTACAGCTCTTTAGTCTCAGACGCCCCCCACCCCCCCACTGGCCTGACCCTGGGTTCTGCACTGGATGCCCCTCTTGCCCTGTCCCCAAAGAATCCCATTAATCACTGCCACGTGACCAGGCTGAAGCGTGACAGACTCCAGAAGAGGGTGGGAGTCTGAGAGGGCTTGCCAAGGTCCCCAAGGCTGTCTGGCCAGTACCCTTCCTTGCAGCCCTCCATGATTCAGCCACAGCGCCCACTGGGGTCCCCCATGGCCCACAGGCCCTCCTCTCTCTTGACACTTGCAATCTCTGACTAGGCTGGGCATTCAACAAACCAGGGCCAGGCCTGGGACTCCACAGCCAGTCCCCAGCGGCTCTGCTTGCCTCCGTCCTCCTGCTAGAAACCTTTCTCCTGCCAGGAGGTGAGCCCACAGGACACTGAGACATTCTCCTCCACCCCTACGGACAGCTTGCGGCCTCCAGTCTCTTAAGACCTTCTCTGCCACCTCCCTCCACCTGGTGGGCTCTGCCCTCTCCGTGTCCTCTCCAAAGCCTGCTCTTCCCCTCCTTCCGGAACCTCCCGCGGCCTTCCAGCCAGACTCAGGCCAGAGTGTCCTCCCTGCAAGGCCCTCTCTTCAAGTCCTCAGTTCTCCCCCTCCTCCCCACCCGTCACCTCCACTCCCAGTGTGGGGGGAGGGGGGTCCGAAAGGGAAGGAGCAGGGAGGGGGGCCGGGGCAACAAGAAATTCAAAACCAACAACAAAAAACAAGATCAAGAAAGAAGAAAGAAAGAAAAAAACAACAACCAAAAAGCAAGAAGCTCTCGGGGGGCGGGGGGGGGGCAGATTCAACAAGAAAAGAAAAAAAAAAACAACAACAACAAAAAACCAAAAACAAAAAACCAAAAAGATCCGTTTTTTTGGAAAAAAAGGAAAAAAGAAAAAAAGTTCTTTGTATTTTTTTTTCAAAATTTTGTGGTGAAACTTCAAGATATTGGGCCCTGTTTTCAAAAATTTCCAAATTCTTTAATTCGCTTCAAATGTCTGCATTTTCTGCATCTGACAGGCTTTTGAAAATTGTAGGTTTGTTTCTGACATTTCAATTGTGCCGTCAATTTGCCAACTTAAAAACTGTATTTTTCAAATGTAGTTTTGCTCCAAATTAAAGTTGGTTTTGTTTTGTTTTGTTTTCAAATGTTACATTTCGCAAGTCTCCAAACAGTCCAAATTGCTGTCGAACTCTAAACGTTTTATCCAATTCTTTGGTGGTTTTGTTTTGTTTTGTTTTGTTTTCTCTGACATTCCAATTTCTTTTTTCACTTATATTTTTGGCTGCGTTTAGCTTGGCTTGCAGGTTTGCTAGTGGGTCCAACATTGTTCAAATTTCGTTTGAAGTTTTCATAATTCTTTTTTCCAATTATTACAAATTTTTCTTTTCTTTTCTTTTTCGTTTTTAGTTGGGAGAAACGACTGAGGGGCCTTGAGGGCTGTGGGGGCGGGGCATTTAGTTAGGGGCCGGGCCTTGAGCATCCTCTAATCAGCAACCACATGCAGCAGCAGGATTTTTAAATCTACCTGTGTCTGGCGGATTGAGCGTCGCCTCGTCACGTTTTTTTGTGAGCGGACCTAAGACCGGGAACACAAAACAGAGAAAAAAGGACAATTTTGTGGGGAAAAGATGGGGGTCGGGGGGAGGCGGTGGATGGGGAGGGGAGGACAGAAAGCAGAAAAGGGGAGGGTGGAGGGCAGAAAAAATAAGCCAAAAAAAGCAAAATTTGTTTGCAAGAAAAAGAAACCAAGAAAAGAGAAAAACGTTTCTACAACCCAAATTTGTTTCCCCTCCCCGGAAAAAGTCATGCCCCAAAGAAAAGGTTGGGTTGTGGGGGGGTGGGGTGCCTGAGTGGGCTGAGGCCTGTTTTAAGACATATTGACTTGGCTTGTCGCAGTGTTTGCTAATGGCTGGAAACGAAACGGTGTTAGAGGTGGGGGTTGGGGTGGGGAGGGGAGGCCCATCCCCCAAGCCCCCGAGGCCAAGGCCAGCTGTGCCACCAGAGTCTCCACTCACACAAGGCCCTCTTCGGGGCCAGCCGGGCACCTGCCTGTTCCCCCAGGCTGCGAGGGAGGGGCTGCAGCAGAAAGGACCCATCTGGAGAATCTGGAGGGCAGAGCGTAGGATGGGGTTGGGGGCCGCCCGCCCCTGCAGCTCACAGCCCCTTCAAGCCCTCGGCTCCCCGCTGGAGGGCTGGGGCCGGGTCAGCTAGGGCCGCCTGCCCGCCTGCCCAGCCTCTCACCCGGCCAGCACTCCTCTTCCATCCGCACTCAGGGGCCTGGCTTCTCACCCCACCTCCCCGATGTGGGGCGAAGCAGGGAAAGGGGTCATCAGGTCTTGCCCTCCATTTCACCTCTTCCCTCTGCATCCCCCAACCTCCTCCCTCACCCAGGACTACTCTCCCCCCACCAAGAACGGTCAACTGCCCACCAGGGACATGAGCACCTCCCCCCGTCCCCCGCCCTGCCCGACAACCTTCTGATGCCAGAAAGCCCCCCTCCCCAATTCGGGGTTCAGTCCACAAATAGGGAACAGGAAACACAGCGCCCTGAGCCAGCCTGACACATAAGGGGCCAGGAGGTGCTGGGAGGCACAAAGTGTTCCCCTGGTCAAGGAAAGGCCCCAGACTGGGCTCAGAGTTTGGTTCCAGGCTTCTTTCAGAAGGGGAAATCGGTTGCAGGGGGGAGCTGGAAGCCAGAAATCAGAGGGGATCCCCCTGCTGATTGGTTTCTCCTCATTGGCATGGGGACGGATGGGTCGGCAAGGTCCAGGCCAGCCTCTGAAGGCTTCTCCCAACTGGTGATGATTGCCCCAGAGGGACCCATTAGGATTGGGGTCTGTTCTCTACAACGGGATGGGAATGGGGATGAAGTCAGCAGGGCATGCGTGAGCGTGAGAATAGTGTGTGTGTGTGTGTGTGTGTGTGTGCGCGCGCACGCGCACCTGCCTGAGTCAACATCTTCCTTGCAGAGCTGGTGTGAAGATTCAGTGAGATCACCTGAATGTGTCAGGCCCCAGGCAGCTCTGTGATAAGCGATGTTTAAAAATACAGAAGGTGTGGGCACAGGTGGTGTGGGGGGCAGGGTGGACATTGCCTGTGGAGGTGTTGGGGTGGACAGCCCATTGGTGGTAAGTCTTGGGTGGATATTCCACATGAGGGGTGAGGAGATAGCCCACTGAGGGGGACCCCACTGGCATGGACAGCCTACAAGGAGGTGGGTGCGGGGCGGAGAGGCCGTGAGTGGAGAGCATGGAGATGGACAGGCTGTGTAGAGGTCCTGCGGTGAATGATTCAGAGGCCATTGTGAAGGGCGGGCTGCTGGGTTAGGTGGCCCACGAGAGGGCAGGGGGATGTGGGGTGGGTGGCTCTCCCATGGAGTGTGACGGCACATAGAGTGTACTGGGGTAAAGAGTCTATTAGGGTGCTTGGGATCTGGATGGGATTGGAGTGGACGATACTTGCGTGCATTGTGGGCATGGGTTGCTAGGAGGCATGGTTTCCATGGGAGGGGTATTACTGTTATGGGGTGCATGGCTGGGAGGCAGAACAGAGGGTGGATGGTTGGTACCCGAGGTGCTGGGAGTGAGGTGTTTGAGTGCTTGATCTGCAGGTAGGGCGTAGGCTCGCTGGGTGTGCTGTCCCAGGCCGAGCTAGGATACAGGTGGTCTGTAGGTAGAGTTGGGGTAAGCAAAGCTTGGGAAGTGTGGAGGGTGTTGGGGTGCCTGACCCCGTGTGCTGAGGAGTTGCGATTCCCGGGGTGTAGTGGCACGTGGGCACCTGACGTGCGGGTAGCTGGTGCCTACAGTGTCCATACAGGGGCTCCTGGGTACCAGGCCCGTGTGTATAGTTGGCGGAAAGCGGTCTGCCAGGAGGCGGCCTCTATGGAGTGTCAGAAGGCTAACACGGGGCTGTTCATGAGGTCGGGCTTGGGGGCCGGCTGAAGTTCTGCTGAGTACCTCTGTTGGAGACAGGTGGAAGGTACTCTGAAAGATACTCTGTGCGCCGAAGGTTGGCTCGTGGAGAACTTTCCGGGACAGTGTGCTGGGGGCGCTGGGAGCACTCCCTTGGTGAACTGGACAGCTCCTTCTCCAGGAGAGCCGGCCACGGGGGGCCGGGAGCCCGGAGGGAAAGATGTTCTCAGGGGGATGGGCCGGCTGTGCTGTGAAGGAGGGGCCCTCCCTGATCCTTCAGGGGTGTGTTAGGGGTCAGGGGACGGAGGTTTTGGAGGAAGACGCACTAAGCTGGCGGGAGGTGCTGGGGATGCGATGTGATAGACGGAAGTGTGCCCATGCACACCGGGAGGAAAAACGAGGTGTCTCTGTTGTGTCTGAGGTGTAGAAGGAACCAAAGTGGGTACTTCTCAGGGACAAGCTGGGTCCTGGGGGTGGGAGGTGGGACAGCGCTGGAGTGGGCGGCTGGGGGCGGGGGGAGATGCTTCCAGTGCCTGCTGGCCCTCGGTGGCCACTGTGTGTGTGCCTTGGCGGGGATGGGGTCTATCAGCCCAGCTTGGTACCTGCTGCTCGCTCTGCGGGCACAAGGACCTTCTGGGGTGGCTGTCTGCAGGGTCGTTCCTGCGGCTGCCTGGCAGGCCCCCGTCTCACCCTCGGGGGGGGGGGGCGGCATGCAGAGCCCGCAGGGCCACGCGGCCTCTGACGGCCCCCACAAAGGCCCAGCTCCCGGCGGGGGGCGGGGGGGGAGCCCAGGGGTCTGCATGCGCGTGAATGGGCTGCGTCCGCGGGGTGCCCAGCCTGGTGCCCGTGCCCTTACCGTCCTCGGTGGGCACGTAGAGGTTGAGATACAGGCAGTCCTCGCTCTGGTTCTGCACGTAGGTGGCGGCCGCCTCCAAGTTGTCGGTGAACCACACGGGCAGCATGATGGCGGGCAGCGCCCCGTGCAGGTTCTGCGGGCAGGCGGGCGGCAGGGTGGTGGCGTTGCGCACGCCGGGCCACGAGGCGGGGGCCTCGGGCGGCTGGAAACGGCGGGCGCCCAGGGGTGGCGTGGCGTAGGGCACGCCCAAAAACTGCACGACGGGGCCCAGGATCTCGTTGTTGAGCTCGCGCCGCACGCCGCGCACTCGCCCATAGGCCGTGTTCACCACTGGGAAGCGCTCCTCCCCGAGGCTGCTGAGACCCAGGCCTGGGCCAACCGGGGAGCCGCCGCCGGGACCCCCTCCCCCCCGTTGAGCCCCTGCCAGCCCCACCAGACACAGCGCCAGGAGCCACATGCTGATCGGGGGACCCCCCCTCCCTCCCCGGGACCCCCCCCCTCGGAGAGAGAGAGAAGGGGGGGGAGAGGGAGGGAGGCCCCCCCTCGCCCCAGTAGGGAGGAGGGGGCGGGGGAAAGGAGGGAGGAGGGGGGTGGGGAGGGACCTGGGTTAGACTGGACAGAGAAAGGGTCTGTTCCTCTCCATGGAGGGGGCAAGGGGTGGGGAAGGGGAAGGAAGTGGGAGAAGGTGAAGGCAGGCCCGATCTGCAGGGAGGAGGCACGGGGTATGCAAGAGACAGACAGACAGACAGACAGACAGACAGAAAAATACAGAGAAGTGGAAGAAGGGAAGGGAAATTGAACAGGGCAGACAGAAGGGAACAGGGAAACAAGAGACAAGTGGTTAGTGACTTGGAATTCAGACCAAGTTGCCCCCCACTTCTTCCGCCCTCAGGCCCCCTGGCACCTCCCCCCGGAAGCCCAGCAACCCCATCCCCAAAGCAGGGACCCAGATAGAAAAGTCTAAGGCTAGGGATAGGGTCAGGACGTGGTATACACCCAGGACAGAGCCAGAGGAGAAGGAGGGCCAGCTCCCCAGACCCAGCATGCCCCCCACCCTTCCAGCTGCTTTATCCCTCCCAGGCAGGCTCTCCTCAGGGACTCAGGAGTCCCAGTTCCCACCTCTCTGGGAGGGATGAGATAGACAAGGAAGAGAAAATAAAAATACCAAGTCATTAATTAGCAGGAAGTGGCGGGTTTGTTTATACGTGTTAATTACTCCTGAGCTGTAATTTCATGGCATTGAACCCCCACCCCAGGCCAGACTGGGGCCTTTCTTGGGACCACACAATCCCAGCACTTTTTCCTCCCTTCAACAGCCCATTCCCTACGGATCTGTGCAGCAGGGGAGGGAGGACCCCTTTTCCCTAGGTCTTCCTCATTTCTTCCATCAGAAGTTAAGGTGCCTTGAGGCAGGGGCTGGAGTAGGGAGGGGATGCTGCTGGAGGGGCAAATCCAGGGACAGATGCGTGATCCTGCAGCCCGTTGCTGGGCGATGGGATGCTGCCCCGCAATGTTACCTCGGCAACCGGCTGCAGCTTTAACCCTGGAGGGGGGTCTGGAGGAACAGAGGAAGGGGCTGGCTTGGTTATGGGGTACACTCAGGGCAGGAGGGCAGAGGCATGAGTCAGAACTGTAGAGTTTTCCCCAACCTTAGCATAGAGAAAGAAGTGTATATGTTGAGGGGAGCGGGAGATTGGGGCATAGAGAACCCTAAAAGATCCGCCTCTTGCCCCTTGTTGGCCAATCAGAGCCTAGCCCTAGTGACCAGGCCTCTGGCTGAGGAGAAGGGATGCTGAGGTGGGTTTGGAGGGCATCAGATGCGGCCACGGACTGCCCCCCTCCCACAGTCTCCAACAGCCTTGGACCCCAGATGCCTCTTCCATGCATGGCATTCTGACCCATGTCCTGGGGGCAAACCTCGGCTGTCTTCTTGTCCCATCCCAGCTATTTACCTCCCCTTCCCCTTGCCAGCCCCCCACAGTTGCTGCTCTGAAGCCTGGATGCTCAGGACAGCAGAGGCAGGACAACAGACAAGATCAGACTGAAGGGGCAGACACCCAGGTCATTCCGGCAAGCCCCCCCCCGGCCCCCCCCTCCCCAGCCGCCAGAGCTGTTTGCTGACGCGGGGTTTTCGGAGCCAGGCGCCAGCCCGCGGGTGGCTCTCTGCAGGTGTCAATTTATTCCAGAGATGAGGACACAGGAATCCTTACCACACACACCCAGTCATGCCCTCCCCCTCTTCAGGTCCTCTTAAGCTCCTGTCCCCCCATCAGCAGGCTTGGGGCTGGCTCCCTCAGGATCTCCTCTGTCTGTGCAGGGCTGGGTTCTGCTTCCATAGTGCCACAACTCCCTCCCCCTCCTACTAACACGGTCTGACTCTGCCCCCCCCCAAGGTACTTTGGGTCCCTGGCCTCCTGGCTGCCAGCTTCTTTCCCTTCTTCCCTCCCACTGAAGCCCTCCCTCCCCCTCCCCTCCATAGCGCTCCCTCAGAGCATCTTTCCTGGCCTCTTCCAGCTTGCTCCGGCTTCTGCCTTCAGTCTTTTTCCATCTCTCTCCTCCACATCTCCCTCCTTGCCCGTTTCTCAGCTCTCTCTCTCCTTCAAACCTCTTCCCCACGTTTCTCCCTTAAGCCCCTTCTCTCTCTGTCTCTCCCTCTCCCCTCTTTCCTACCTCTGTCTCCCCCATTTTCTCTCCCCATCTCTGTCTGCCACATCTTGCTCCCCCTCCTTCTCCCTATCCCTCTGCCTTGCTCTCTCCATTCCTGCCGGGGCCTGACTCCCCCAGCCGGGGAGAATGGAGGGAGGGGGGCTCAGGCCACAGCCCCCCCCTTCCTGCAGTGGGGAAAATGGCTTGGCCGGGAAGGGGAGAAGGAGGGGGAGGGGGAGATGGGAACACACGGGGTCTGTGGGCCCATTCAAAGGATCATTCATGGGCTGGAGAGAGGCAGAGACAAAGAGACCGAGACGCAGAGACACGGCGAGAGCATCCCTAGGCGGAGACACGCAGACAGAGCAGGCTGGGGGGAAACCAGGCGCAGGGAGAGAGACGGGGAGAAGGAGACCCCAGTGGACCGCCACGCACCCCCCTCCACCCGGCCCGGCTTAGCTCCTACCTGGCTCAGCCCTGGGGCCGTGGTGCCTCCATCCAGGGCTCCGAGTAGGGGGCGGACGGGCTTCGGGAGGGGGGCGGCGGCCTCTGAGCCCCCGCGGCCCCGCAGGCCCAGCCCCCGCCCGCAGCGCCTCACCGGGCGGGGGAGGGGGATCGCCCCAGCCCCGGGGGGCGGGGCCGGGACCCAGTCGATCCCCGGGGAAAGGAGAGGTAGGGGATGGGGTCAGGAGGAACCCGAGAACAGAGAACCCCTCAGTGGGGCCGGCGGAGCGAAGAGGGGGCAACGAGAAAGGACTGGATTGGGAATCCACTGGCTCCGTGGGCTGGCTTCGAGGGACCAGAAGGTGGTACCGGCGGAAGATCCTAAGGGATTGGGTGCGGGAGGAGGTGTCCACGGCAATCCCCAGGGGCCCGGAGCCCGGGAACGCAGGATCCGCGGTGCAGGGGCAGGGATCCAGCCGGAATCCTCGGGGAGGGGGAGGGATCTAGTCGATCCCGAGGGCGGGCGGGAGGGGGAGGTCCAGGGAGTCAGAGGAGGGCGGGAGCCGAGTCTGGAGCCCCGGGGTGGGGGTCGGCAGGGCTCCTAGGAGGGGAAGCGGGGGTAAGGGGGAGGCTTCGGGGGACGCTCAGAAGCCAGGAGGCCCGGACTCCTGGCTCCGCGCGCCAGGGCCCACCCGCCCCGCGTCCATCCCAGCCCGAGAGTGATGATCCGCCGGCGGAGCAGCCGCAGCAGCCCCGCGCGTCACCGCGCGGCCGCCTCCCCCGCCCCCTGCGGAGAGAGCGGCGCACACCCCTCGCTCGCACCCGCCTGCCCGCCCGCCCTCCAGAGTGTGGGGGATTGGAGACGGTGGAAGGGGGCGGGAGCGGACAGACCGACGGATGGACGAAGCGGGCCGGGGCAGGGTGGAGACATTCCCCCCACCCCAGGTCTCCCACCCTCGGGGCTCTGGGGGTTGGTGGGTTGGGGGCGGGTAGGAGGCGGGGGGTGGGTGGGTGGTGAACCACAGGGGGCGGGGCATCATATGAAGAAGGCGGGGCCTTGCATCTGTGGGCGGGACCATCTCGGTAGTGGGCGGGGTTTGACTGCGATGGGTGGGGCTTGGCTATACGAGCGGCCGCCTCTTTTTGGGAGTGGGTCTGGTTTAAAGCTGGAAAGGAGGAGCCAGTGGGGAAAGAGGCGGAACTTTGCGTGGGGACCGGGATCTTTGGAAATTGGCCGGAGGTGGGGGGGGTAGGTGTTAGAAGAAGCGATCAACTTTGAAAGTGGGCCAATCCGTGACGCAAATCCTCTAGTCCCGCCTCCCAACCCCGCCCCTCACTGCCCCGCTCTTCCGCCCCTAATTGGTTCTCGTTTCTCCGCCCGCCAGACAGCTTCGCCACTCAATAGAGGTTTTACACAGGCGCAAGTATCCGGGTGAGGACCTGGACGCTGAAATGAACCCGGCCCGGATTGGGCACCCGTGGACATCATTTGCATGGGAGGCCGGGATTGGCTGGCCTCTCGGGTGGCCTGGGAGGTGTTCGTCCGGCGCGTGACCATCCGCTGCCATGGCCCGGTTGGGGGCTGCGTTCCGCCGCTTGGGCGCCTTGTCCGGAGCCGGGGCCTTAGGCTTGGCCTCCTACGGGGCGCACGGTCAGGGGGCTGGGGACGGAGCTCACACTGCGAGGGCGACGACCGTTGGTGGGGGGGGGGTGTCCAGTGCAGGGGCGGGGTCTGTGGGAAGTGCCGGACAGCTCTCGGAGCCTGACCCTTTTAAAGCACCGCCCCCCCACCCCGGCCCGGTCCGGTTTGGTTCCCAGAAGTGCCCGTGCGTGTTTCCACCAATCAGAAGCCTCCTGGGGACATTCCTTATCGCCAGTGTCCCCCTGGGTCCCGCCGGGAGTTGGGGCGGTCGAGGCCGGTGCTCGGACTGGTAACCTTTGCCTTTCCTTCCACAGGCGCCCATTTTCCGGATGCCTACGGGAAGGAGGTGAAGTAACCGCGCTGGGACTCGCCAGCTTCCGGGTCGACGAGCGCCCAAAGTCTGGGGTCGCCGCGGGAAGCAGGGGACGGGCGGAGCGCGGGGCTCCGGAGCGCCGAGGGCGGCCAGCCTGAGCCGTGGGTGCCTGGGGGAGAGGCCAGCCGGGACTTCAGTTGGGGGCCGACCGGGATCCAGACTCCAGCGTTGCTTAGGAAATGCAACCCCCCCACCCCCCCACCTTTCTCTTTTTCTTACAGCTCTTTGACAAGGCCAACAAACACCACTTCATACACAGCCTGGCCCTGATAGGGGTGCCCCAATGCAGAAAGCCTCTCTGGGTAATCTTACCCCCCCCCGCCCCCCGTGCCTAACCTTGACCAAGCCCCACCCGCTCCCTTTCTGTCAGCCTTTTTCTTACTGGCCTGCATTCTTGTGTCTCCTTCAGGCCGGGTTACTGCTAGCCTCTGGAACCACCTTATTCTGCACCAGCTTTTACTACCAGGCTCTGAGTGGAGACCCCAGCATCCAGACTTTGGCCCCTGTGGGAGGGAGCCTGCTCATCTTGGGCTGGCTTGCCTTGGCCCTTTGAGCTTCCTTGTGTTTGCTTTCTGGGCACTTCTTTGAGAGTTGGAGCAGGGAGGGGATTAAAAGAGAAAGGCAAATAAAGAACTTGAGTCTTTGTTCATCTTGGAGGAAGAAGGGTAGGGATTGTCAACCTCTGGACTCCCTCCTTTTCCTAAGACCGAATCTTGGGTCTGGGGATTCTGTTCCCTTCAAGTTATGAGGTTCTTAGACCGGGGGACATCAGGGTCATAAAGAGTGCTTGAAATAATGCGGAGTCTTACCGAAACGCTCTTTGGCGCCTGGGATTCTGTATTCTAATAAGCTCAGCAGTGGTTCTGCTGCTCACTAGAATTTGAAGATGGCTGTAGGGTAGTGGTTTTCAGCCCTGTCAGCCCACAAATTTCTTGACCCACTAGCAGTCAAGGCAGCACAGGAGGAGGGCCATGAGTTATAAAATACTTTGCGGTTTGGGCGCCTGGGTGGCTCAGTTGGTTAAGCGACTGCCTTCGGCTCAGGTCATGATCCTGGAGTCTCGGGATCGAGTCCCACATCGGGCTCCCTGCTCAGCAGGGAGTCTGCTTCTCCCTTTGACCCTCTTCCCTCTCATGCTCTCTCTCTCTCATTCTCTCTCTCAAATAAATAAATAAAAATCTTAAAAAAAAAATACTTTGCGGTTCAACACAGGGACAGATCATCTTGTATGGGGGGCGGTCAGAAAATGCTTCCGAGGGCTTGAGATGATCCTTAAAAGAACTTTGTTGTGTGGAGGAGACCGTGAACAGAGACAGAGGTAGGAAAGGGAGGAGTAGGGGGCTCCCCGATCTTCACTGTGGGGTGGGCGGAATTTTTGAGTTAGGCAGGAGAGGGAGAAAAGGTGGCAAGGCAGGCTGGAGCGGCACCCACAGCAGGTAAGGAACCCAAAGAGATGTAGGGGGCAGCCAGGGCTCATCAAGTGGTCATGATGTGTCAGACACACATTACAAGGAAGTTCACCCATGAACAAGACAGACACCATCCTTTCCCCGTGGAGTTTCCCATCTAGGAGTAGAAACGGACTTGAACAACTTAATGTACAAATGTATTGGGGTAAGTTGTGCTTTGTGCTTGAAGGAGCAGAACGGGGGGCAAGGGGGAGAATGGGGTAGTGGAGGGAGTGCTCCCTCAGATGGGAAGGCCTCACCGAGGAGGTCCCGTAGAAGCAGGAGTTAGTCAAGCACAGGGTTGGAGGGGAAGTGTATTCTGGGCAGGAAGAATAGCTTTCAAAACAGACTACAAAGGAGCCGTTCAAAATCCTCGAGGCAGGAGGAAATCGGGCGCGTTGGAGAAAGGGCAAAACCAGCGTGGCTGATGGGTGGGTATGCAGGGCCCTGGATGCTCGTGCCGGCCTTGCAGGGAGTGGTAAGGCAGCTAGAATTCATTTGTAACGCAGCAGTAAATGGCTGAAAGTTTTTAAAGTAAGAGAATGCTAGGATCTATGTTTAGAAGACCTGGGGAACCCATAGAGAAGAGGTAGGCAGGATGGCCGCAGGGAGACGAGTCAGGAGGCCCAGGTATGAGATGGTGGGGGCTTGGCTTAGGATGGAAGAGATGGTCCAAAGGGCCCAGTTCAGAATGTATTATGAAGGTAGTACTGATAGGACCTGCTGATGGACCCGATAGAAAGGGTGAATGAGCCGGAGACTTCTGGCTTACACACCCAGCTGAGGTGCTGTTACTTGGATGAGAAGGACAGAGAGAGGGGCAGCTCAGGGGAGGCAGGTCACAGGTCAGTTTTGGATGGGTTGCTTCTGAAATGCCTGGGATGCATCCAAGCAGGTAGTAGTCGGGACGCTCGGGGAAGATCTGGACTCAGGTTTACTCAGCCCCCAACGCCCCTAGCCAGTCTTGTCTTCCATCCCACCTCTGCCCCATAAACGCCCTTGGAAGGATCCCGTGAATCACTGGGACGTCCTGGTTGCCCGATCCAATGGATGACTTTCAGTTTTCTCTTCTTCGGCCTCTGCAGCATTGGACACAGTTGGCCACACGGTCCTTGAAATACATCCTGGCTTCTCACACTACTCCTGGTTTTCCCTCATTGCTGTGGCCACTCTGCCCCTTTTCCTTCGCCACCCAGTTTAAATCCATGGTTTTCAAATTCTAATGAAAGAAACTTGGAACTCCTGTATATACGTATTTTAACAACAGCCTTATCACTTTCCATTTTTGTGTATGTTTCATCAAGTGCATATCTGCGTGGTATGTTGGAGGTGTGTGCCTAATTTTTTGGAAGGTGTGCATTAGGGTACGGACCGCTTCTCTAAATGAGAGGATCTTCAGGTAATCTCCTTGAGCCCCGTATCTTCAATTACAATCTGAATTCTTTTAAACCTAGAATCTCCGTCTCCCGCTCTAGTCCCTGCTGAGCTCCAGATGCCTGTAGCAGCTGCAGTGTGCCAGAATGTTCTGTGGGGACCTGAAGGACGCAGTGATGCGGAGGGGGTGGGGTTGTGTTCCAGACTAAGGTAGGGGCTTCCAAGGCAGCCCTGAAGCAGACGAGGGCCCAGTGCATTTGAGACCTGAAAGAATTCCTCGTGCCTGGGGGTGCCTGGGTGCCTCAGATGGTTAAGCATCTGCCTTCGGCTCAGGTCATGATCCCAGGGTTCTGGGTTCAAGCCCTGCATCGGGTTCCCTGCTCAGCGGGGAGCCTGCCTCTCCCTCTCCCTCTGCCTGCCGCTCCGCCTGCTTGTGCTCTCTCTCTGTCAAATAAATAAATAAAATCTTAAAAGAAATTTTTTTTGGTGGCTGGCTTGAAGACAGGAGAGGGTCTTAGTGAAAAAATGTGGATACCGGGGGCCAAATGGGGGAAGGCCTTGGGCTGACTCGTTGGGCTCTCTTCTGAGGGCAGTGCGGAGCCATGGAAGCATTTATATCCAGGGAGGAGGCATGATTTGAGGTTTTTTAGTAGAAGATCACTATATTTCTTCATTTTAGTGAGGACTAAAATGCAGCCTCAGAGGGGCTGCCAGAGTGGCCCAGAGTGCCAGTGTCCAAGCCAGCACAGGATCCCCAGGCTCCAAGCTCCCAGTCCAGGGCCCCTGCTGGCATTTCCATCCTTCACCCCAGGCAGTGCGTGGCGCACAGGGAACCTCTAGGTGGAGGAGACCCCCAACATCCAGAATGGCCACCCTCCCTGTAATGTGATCCTTAATACCTTAGCTTTGACCCTGCCAGTGGGAGGGGCCCTTGAGGAACCAAGATAAATAAGGCCTGCTTGGTAATTGGTCCCTATTATTATTGCACATTGTGTCCAGTTCTCAACTGGTCCTACAAGGGAGCGGGAAGTGAAACTAGGAGAGGTGAAGCTGCTTGTTCTGTATCATAGCCGGGAGTGAGCTGCGATTCAAACTCTCTTCTGTCCAACTCCCAGAGTGCTCCCCTTCTTGAACACGCAGAGACAGCCTTCAGCAGTGTAGACAGACCCTAGCAAAAAATAATTTGATACAATGTGATCAGTGTTACATGTAGACACTAAGGTGGGTTCCTTTTGCTCTGGGGCACTGGTAAGGCTTCTGTCCACCTGCTGGGGTTCAGCATGAATAGTTCACCAGAAGGAAAGGGACAAACCACACTGTGAACGAGTCAAGAGGGGGAACAGGAGGGCCTGTAGCTCAGGATGGAGTGGGCAGGCAGGAAATGACAGAACAGGAAGAGCAGGGCCCAACCTCAGTCAACCTTGCTTGCCCTCTTTCTCACATTCTGTATCCAAGCAAGCCATCAAGCCCTGTTGGCTAAATGCGTAACCAGAACCTGACCACTTCTCACCACCGGCACCTCACCTACCACTCCAGCCCCTGGTCCAAGCCACCATCACATCCCACCTAGCTTTCTGCAAGAATGTCCTTCTGCCCTTGCCTACCTACACCTACTCTGGACAAAACAGCCTGAGAGAGAGACTCTGTAACACGGTGGTCCTCAGCCTTAGCTGCACATTAAAATCTTCAGGGAATTCTCGGAAAGTTCTATTGTCTGCACCTTAATCCAGATATTCTAATTGAGTCGATAGGACCTGGGGCCCACGCAGAGTTATTTTGTAAAGCACCCAGATGATTCTATCTTGTGGCCAGAGTTGAGGACTCCCGATTGCGTGTGTCAGTCTCATGTCTCTGTCCAAAGCCTGCAACCCTTCCCAATTCACTCAGAGTCCAATCCGATGGTCTGCAAGGCCATACGTGATTCGAGTTCCTGTGATCTCTTTTACTTCTCCCTGGTTCACTCCATTCCGGCCACATTGGCCTCCTTTCTGTTCATTGAACAAGTAAGGCACACTTCTCCCTCAAGGTTTTTGCCTTTGTCATTCCCTCTGCCTGAAACATCCTTCACCAGATATCTGCCTGGCTCGATCCTTGACCTTCTTTAGGTCTTTGCTCAACTACCACCTTCTTGGTGGTACCTTCCTCATCCACCCTCTTCAGAATCACAACTCCTGCCCATCACCCTGTATCCTCCTCATCTTGCTGTTTTTCTTCAGAGCACTTGTTACCATCTGACTTCCAGTATATTTTACATTATCTGTCTCTTCTCTACCAGAATGCAAGCCTCAGGACATCAGCAATTTTTGTTAATTTCTTTTTTTTTTTAAGATTTTATTTATTCATGAGAGAGAGAGAAGCAGAGGGAGAAGCAGGCTCCCCGCCGAGCAGGGAGCCCCATGCGGGACTCCATCCCAGGACCCTGGGATCATGACCCGAGCCGAAGGCAGACGCTTCACCGACTGAGCCACCCACGCGCCCCATGTTAATTTCTTTTTTTAACTGCTGTATATTCCTGGACGCCTGGGTAGCTCAGTCGGTGAAGCGTCTGCCTTCGGCTCGGGTCATGATCCCAGGGTCCTGGGATGGAGTCCCGCATGGGGATCTCTGCTCCTCCCCCTGCCCGTGCTCTTTCTCTCTCTCCCTCTCTCTAATAAATAAATAAATAAATAAATAAATAATCTTAAACAAACAAAAACCTGCTGTGTATTCCTATCAAATGCTGTCTGACATGGAGTAGGTGCTCACTAAGTCTTTGTTGAATAACTGAATTTCTGTATATGTTTTGGTGGATGCTGGTCCATGGTTCCAGCCATGTAGAATCCGAGGTACTGAGGGATACCAGGGGAGAGGTCAAGCACTTGGGTCTGAAGCACACGATCACGGAAGCTATGGGAGCAGCTGACCAGCCCAGAGAAACACGGACATAGGGGCAAAGGAGCCCCACCCCCACCCTGCTGCTCCGCGTCCATCTTGAGGGGTGACGCCTCCACCTGCCTGGTCACCAGACAGGGCTCTGGGGTCATCCTGAGCTCCTTACCTCCACAACTCACCCCTCAAACAAGTTCTATATTATTGTCTAAGTATCCCCCAAGTCTGCCACTTCTATCTGTCTGCACTAACACAGCATTCTCTCCTCCGGGCTACTGTCAAGGACCCAGCCCGGGTGCCTTCATGAAGGTCCACCTTGCCGGTTTAGGTGGTTTTTCTAAAACACGAATTCCACCTTCTCTTTCGGTCTGAAAATCTTTCGGTGGGCTCCCTGCGGTCCCCGGGGCCAAGTCCCGGCTCCCACCAAGCCTTCTGTACACGTGGGCTGGCCTCCCTCTCGAAACTCCTCTCTTGCCTCTCGGCCTATACGGCCCAAGGCTCAGGGCTTCCTCACACCCGCGGGCCTCGGCTCAGGGCGCAGAAGACGCGACTCCTCTCGGGAGGAGGCTTTCCTGCCGCCGCGCTGCCTCCTCTGGCCCCCCGAACCTGCCTGCACGCACGCTCATCGCGGACACCGTTTGGCGGCCTGTCACCCACGTGGCCAGGGGTTCCTGCCGGCGGGACTGTAGTCGCAAAGGTGTCTGTGTGGGTGACTGCGGCGTCACAGAGAGGAGCCCGCGAGGCAGCCTCCGGGACGCAGAAAGGGAGCCGGGGGCCAGTCCTGGAAGCCAATGAGGGAGTGTGAAGGGTGTTCCGCTGCGTCAGCGGGGCCCGAACCGCCCTTGGGAGGAGGAGCCTGGGGTCCAGCGCCGCGCAAGCTGCCCTCGCTTCCCACCCAGGGACACTGAGCCCTCTGCGCCCGCAGACCTGGCGGGGTCGCAGGGCTAGGTCTCCGCCGGCGGCCCTCCCCAGGCGAGCTTCCTCTGGCCTGGGACGGCAGAGCCGAGGAGGCGGGGGGACGCCGACCGCCCCGAGCAGCCGGTGGTCCAGGGTCCGCGGCCCCGCGGAGAGCAGGCCTGCTTTCTACGCAGGCGCGCCGCCCAGGCCGGGAGGGGCGGGGCCTGGACGGGTCGAGGGGCGGGGTCAGATCCCGGGCCCGCCTCCACGGGCTCCTGTGAGCCGCCGAGTGCTGGGCACCCCAGCTATTCTAGGGGCTTCAGGTGAGCGGGGGGCACCGAAGGGTCAGAAGGCCTCCCTGGAGGTCGGGCCGTTGGCCGGGCCGCGGGTGCATCTGTCCTGCCGTCTGCCAACAGACGCCTCCGCGGAGAATGGGAGAACAAAGGGAGGGGGCGGTTCTGGGGCCCCCGAGGGAAGCCAGGGTCCCAGGTACCCCGCCCTGCCCGCTGACACTTTCGGTTTCTCCCTGAGTCAGAGGCGCCGCCCGAGAGACCCTGGGCCGGCGCCGGGCGCAGCTGCCTGTCCGCGTTTGCCTGTCCGTCTTTGTGTCTGTCTCTGTGTCTGTCTGCTGTGCCCGAACTTGCCTCCACCTCTAAAACTAAGTCTCCCGGACACCCCGGCATCCCGCGAACTCTCGCCCCTCTCCCATGGCAGGTAAGTGGGCGCCAGGCTGAGGGTCTCCGTTATCCCCCCCACGGACTGGGGAGCTGGGCGTCGAACACATCCTCCCGGAATGTGCTCCGACTGGCTGCGTGGGGCCCCTCCCTTCGTCCCGGGGAGCCGCCGCCCTGCTCCCCCGCCCCATCTTTCTCAGCCTCTTCCCGTCACATTTTCCCCGCAGCCTCGCGGCCCGTGGCCTAAGGGGAAGGGGGATGGGGCCGTGGGTCCCTTTCTAATCCACCCCTGTCCCCCCCCACAGGCTACTTGCCCCCCAAAGGGCACGCCCCTTCACCCCCACCTCCCTACCCTGTGACCGCTGGGTACCCGGGGCCGGCGCTGCCCCCCGGGCCCGGGCCGGCACCAGTGCCCTCCCACGTACCTGCCCCTGCGCCCGGCTTCTCCCTCTTCCCCTCGCCCGGCCCCGGAGCCCCGGGGCCTGCTGCCCCGTTCTTGCCACTGCCGGGGGTGCCTTCCGGCCTCGAATTCCTGGTGCAGGTGAGTGGCAGGGAGGAGGGGCGGAGTGGCGACGAGGGGACCTGGCGTCCAGGCCAGCCGGCTGACATCGACGCCCACCCTACTCTCTTTCCAGATTGATCAGATCTTGATTCACCAGAAGGCTCAGCGAGTGGAAAGTGAGGGAAAGGAGGAGTCGGGTGGGCCTCGTGGCGCAGGCAGAGAGAGTGGGCTCCTGGTGGGGGGAGCCCGTGGTGCCTGAGCCCCAGCGTGTCTCCCCCTGGCAGCGTTCCTCGGCTGGGAGAACTGTAACCGGTATGAACTGCGCTCGGGGGCCGGACAGCCCCTGGGTCAGGCGGCCGAGGACAGCAACTGCTGCGCGCGTCTGTGCTGCGGTTCGCGCCGGCCCCTGCGTGTCCGCGTGGTGGACCCCGGTGACCGCGAGGTGCTCCGCCTGCTTCGGCCCCTGCACTGTGGCTGCGCGCGCTGCCCGTGCGGCCTCCAGGAGGTGGGCGGGGAGGGGTTGGGGGGGCAGGTCGTCGTGGGGAGGGCCCCTGACCGCGCACGGTCCGCTCGGAACGAGGCGCGCTCGCGGGGTGACGTGCGGCCCTGGTGGGCGCGGGCGGGTGGGATGCGAGGTCAGCGAGCGGGGTGACAAGGGGTCTAGGGAAGGGGATGGGCGGTCTTGTGAGGGCAGACAGATGAAAGAGCCTGGCCGGTGAGAGCGTGGGCCGGCGTGCCCTCTCGGCAGTGACCCCGTCCGCCTCCCACTCCAGATGGAAGTCCAGGCTCCCCCCGGCACCACCATTGGCCACGTGCTACAGACCTGGCACCCCTTCCTCCCCAAGTTCTCCATCCAGGATGCGGATCGCCGCACGGTCCTGCGCGTGGTGGGGCCCTGCTGGACCTGTGGCTGTGGCACGGACACCAACTTTGAGGTACCAGGAATAAGGGGAGATTCCGGGGACCGTCATACACCAAGATGGCAGCTTCTATGAGGCAGGATAGCCCACACAAAGGTCGAGACCCTGAGCTCCTCAATCCGAATCCACTGTGACTCCTACCACACTTGCAGTGATCCTCCATTCAGAAAGGGATGCCCCTGTGGTCTTAAGAAACGGAAGCTTGGCAGAGAGGGTCTCATCTTAAGGACCAATGCTGATTGTTGCCTGCAGCCCTGTGTGCAAGGGAAAGAGTCTAAGGCCGGGCCTGATTTAGGGCAAGTCCGCTGTGGGCTGGACCCATGTGGCTGCTATGCGTGAGTTTGGGAGCCCAGACCTGGAAGCGAACACCAGTTTAACTTGCTAAGATCCTGCGGCTTGCCCCGCCAACCTAGAAGTCCAAACAGCCTCCCCTCTCCCGCCAAACCTGGAATCCAGGTGCTCTATGTCCTTGTCATCATGCATTGCTATCATCAGCCTGGACAACCCAAGTGGTGACACTTTCAGGGGGAGGCCGGGGAAGCACCTCCATTTCTAGAAGACAGAGGCATATCACAGACACTTGAGTTCTTTAAGGGATAATCACCAGGGCAGGTAAGGGAGAAATAACAGGTAGAACCCTACAGACTTCCCAAGGCTTTTGATGAGGTGTCTGGACTAAGCCTGCTTTTAAAAAATCGAGTCACCTTGCTAGGTGGGTGGAGGTTCCATGATGGGAAGATCACCAGGTGAGCTCTGGATGGGAACGTGGAGACTGTGGGGCCCTCACAGGGCCAAGTCTCCCTTTTACGTGATTATGAAGGATCCCTATTTGGGGCTGCCCTTGGGAGAGGCCCTGCCCAGCTTGAGACTGGTGTGCAGGAAGTGCCCTGGCGCTGTGGGACAGTGGGGGACAGGGATGGGAAGGGCATCGTTCTAGCCACTGAAGATTAAGCCAACGAAAAGGACCGGGGAATCACTGTGAATTACCACCCACAGCGGCAGGGCCTGTTGCTGCTGGGCCCGGAGAAGTCCGTGGAAATCATGGTCCTCACAGGCCACTTACTGCCGCCCCCAGCCCCCTGTAGACGGGCGTGGACCTCCTCTGGATGAAGCTTGCATGCGATGCTGGACAGGGCCCTTCCTACTTTGCAGATTCGAGGAAAGGCACCCGTTTGGGCAACCACAGCCTTCCAGGAACGTGGTTGGCTGATAGAGCGCGGCCTCCCTCCCCGGCCCCTCTTGACCAGGTTCCTGCGTTCAGGGCACCCACTGCACCAACCGTAGGTGGCCAGTACTTTGGTAACCGAAACAAACCCGGCAGGCAGTCCTACGCCGAGTTGAGTAGTACATCCCGCTTCCACGTCCCCCACCGCTGATGTTCCGTTCTCGTGTACGGCCTTTCAAGGGCAACACATCAGAGCCCGAATTCTGATTTTTGCTATACACACGCAGCGTGACCTAGGGTGACTCAGTTTCCCCCGATGTCACATGGAAACCCAAGGCTGTTGGAAGGATTCCCTGAGTGGAACGCCTGCACGGTCCGTGCAGGGTGGTGGTGGGGGAGCAGTTGCATCCTCCCCAGTTGGGTTCTGCCCCCCACCCCAGGTGAAGACCCCGGATGAATCCCGCAGCGTGGGCCGCATCAGCAAGCAGTGGGGGGGGCTGCTCCAAGAGGCCCTCACGGATGCAGATGACTTTGGCCTGCAGTTCCCACTGGATCTGGACGTGAGGGTGAAGGCGGTGCTGCTGGGAGCCACATTCCTCATCGTGAGTTGGCTGCCCCGCCTCCCCCCCTGATCTCTGCTCTCACTCCAGGCTTTGTGCACCGCCTGGCTTCCTGCTCAGACAGGGTTAGGGACACGGACTTTATAGGGGCTTGCGGTGCCTGACCTGGGGTGTGAGAGCTGAGCTAGGCCAGCCCAGCCAGCTCTGTTGACAGTGCCTTCCCCTCAGGACTACATGTTCTTCGAGAAGCGAGGAGGCGCTGGGCCCTCGGCCATCACCAGTTAGAGGCCACCTCGGGGTGAGGAGACCATCACCTCAACGGGGATCCAAGATGGTGGCCCGTCCCGGCCCCTCCTCAGAGGCAGCCCCTTCCCTCGACGTGCACTGCAGGGGACAGACAGGGATGCCCGAGTCTAGGGGCCACGGCGCCCTACCCCTACCCTAATTCCCTGGCCTCCTTCACCTTGGCCCCCAGAGAAGGGTAGGTAGGAGAGCTCTTCCCCTGCGACCTCCTACCCCTGTCTCTGGCGAGCCCCCAGCACCCAGGCATATCCGCTTTCAGACTCTCCCTCCCCTCCCCTTGCTCTCACCCCCTAGCAGGTCTCTGTTCCACATGTGGTCTGTGGAATCCAGAGCCCTGGGGTTTTCTGACAGAGCTGGGGTGGGGCAGGGGATGCAGCACCAAAGATGGCGGGTATGACTGCTGTCCCCCGCACTGGCTTGGCCAGCGAGGCCGGCCTCGGACAGTGGCACTCTGAGGGGGTCCCCACCTCCCTGCCAACAGCTGTAGGGCCTACCCTCCGGTGCCAACTTCCTTCCCCCCACCTGGGTCCTGCCTACAGCTGCAGCTTTTGTGCCTTTTGCAAGCACCCCATCCTTTCCTCGCCCTGGGAAGGAGGCTGCATCTTTGTATGTTATGTTCATATAAACTTTGTAACTTTTTGGAAACTGGAAGATGTATGTAATGGGAGAGAGTAGAAGAGCTGGTGCGGGAAGAAACCAAGGGAAACAGGATAGCTGGGCTGGGGTGGGGGGCTGGCCCATTTCATCATCCAGGCTGCCAAGATCCAGTGTCCTTGAGTTCAAGAGGGCAATGTCATCCTCCATCACGGCCCTGGACAGAGCCAAGGCAGTTTGGGCCACGTACCCCAAGTCAGTACGGTTGCTTCTACCATCCAAGACGGCTGCACCCCAGAGGCCAGTGTGGTAGCTGACTGCCGTTTGGGATGGCTACTCCCGAGGTCCGCTGTAGCAAGTGGAAGCTTCCTGTGCGTGTGATGTGGGGCAGCTCTGTCCCTCCAAGTTCTCTTGGTTGGGAATATGGTGGGCAGACTGGACTAGATCCTTCTATGAACCAGCCAAGGGAGCTGGAGCCCTCAGAGGTCAAGGGGCACGGGAGGAGACGCTGGTCAGTGCCCGACGCCGGGCTCCTCCTGTACCTGCCCACCACACGATCTCCCCGGGTGGGAAATTCTGCCCTGGTAGGACCAGGTTCTGGTTCTGCTTGGTCCCGCAGGGCCAGGCCCTTGATCCAGGCTGGTATCCACGCCCAAGGGGGCAGCGCTCAGGGCCGGGCCAGGACATAGTGACTGGCAGCAGAGAGATCCCACTGGTAGTGCTCCAGGATGCGTCGGCAGTCCGCTCTGGACCGGCTACTCAGATGGAAGAGCTGGTCCACCTGCAGGGGCGGGAGGGAGGGCAGTGAGTGCCAAGGGCCGGGGCGGGAGCAGTGCGAACCCGAGAGCAGGGTCTGGCTTTACCTTGAGGTTCCGGATGGCAGAAACCACATCTCCCCCAGTGGCCCTGAGTGCTGCCTGGCACTCCTGGTGGGTGACTCCATGCACGCTCAGCTCCACCTGCGGGGCATGAAGGCTTACTCAGGCTACTACCCCTGCCTGGAGACCCCTCTGGACACCAGCCACTTCGGGGACAGCTCACCTCCACAATCCTCCTCTGCAACTCAGGGTCGGGCAAGAGGCCTCCAGCAGGGATGGTGGCTTTGCTAGCCCCAGGCGCCCCCGAGGCATGGCTGTGGGGGGGTTCCCTTTTGGCCCAGGGAGGCCGCTCCCTGGGGGGCTGGCTGGGCTGAGAAGGGCTGGAGGCAAAGGGAGGGCGGGATGGCAGGCCTGGGGGTGTCTGGGGCACAGCTCTGGCATGACGAAGTTCAGGGGGGCTCGAACCACCCCCTGTGGGGCGGGGGCCCAGGGACAGAACAGACTCCAGACTCTTGGAAATGACTACAGTTGAGAAAAAAGGAGCTTGAGAGGAAGCCCAGACGCGGGGCCCTGCCTTTTCCCCACTCTGTGCGCTGCTCTCGGGGTAACCCTTGGTCAGGGGTGCAGCAAGGTGTGCCGAGGCAGCGGAAGGCCCCGAAGAGCCAAGGTGGCAGGAACTGCAAGGGGGAGCGGGCAGATCCTAAAGTCCAGCGAGGTTGTCAAGTCACATATGCAAAGGTCCGGACTCGGGGCAGGGGCAGCATCGGAGGGTCGTTCTTGATCTCCTCAGAGACCCTGGAAGCCGGGTCCCCACCAGCCACACCCACCTTTCATCCTCTGCAGGGGCACGTTCCTTCTCTGGCCCCGTGCTGGAGGTAAATCCCGAAGCTTTGCCTTCCCTCTGTCCCTGTTGGAGGGAGTGATCCCGGTCACTCTCCACACCCCCACCCTACCCCTGGCCTGGCAGTGTTCCTCCCCACACACACTCTTCCAGGTGCTCACCCATCTACGCTTCCCTGGTGTCGCTCCCCCTGGGCAGGGGAGACCCTGTGGACCGGACGGGTGGCTGGTGAGACCCCCGCGTCTGCCAGTGTCACTGCCGAGGCTGGGAAGCTGCCCACTTTGAATGTGCGGCCGTTCTGGCCCTTCCAGGCTGCAGAGTCGGGGCTGTGGGAAGGGGTGAAGGGGACGGAGTGGGGGCTGGGCTCGCGCCCACATTCAGCTCACAAGCTGTGTGCCGTGGAGCTGCATCTGCCTGGAGGAAGGGAAGCTTTTTTCTTCCGAACACAAAAGGGCTCTGTGGGCTTGGTGGCTCCAGCCGGAGGCCACAATGGTATTGCAGCTCTGGATGGGGGGGCGGGGGGGGCGGGAGGCGGCAGAGGAGCAGGGTTCAGGGAGCTGGGGAGCAGCAGATTGGGACCAGGGTCAGGAAGGTTGGCTGGGAGTCCTCCTCCCGGGGACGTGTGGGAGGCATGAGGCTCTCACCTGCCCTCAATGATGGTGATGGGGTCACCAGTCTGCATCCTTAGGGCACCTGGCTCTGTGACATCCCGCACACAACGTCCCTCAGGAGGCCAGGCCTGCAGAGACAGGAGGAAAGGGAGGCAGGGCTCGCGGCCTGAGTCCAAAGGGTAATTTTGTCGGAGCAGGGAAGAAAGGAGACTCCTCTGTGTTAATGCACCCACCAACGAAACCCATACCAGCTATATGTCCTTGGTCCTGGGCCCGGGGTGGGACTGTCCCTGTCCCCCGGTTGTGATCCAGCAGGGGAGGCAGACCTGGAGTCCGTGCCAAGCTGGACATAGCCCAGGGGTCAGCAAGCAACAAAGGGGGGCCCTGTCTCTACCTAGGAGAACCAAGGGGAGAGTCGTCCTATGCACTGCTTTTATCCCCCCCCCCCCCCCCCGCCACAGCTCTGCCTTCCAGGGCTCTGGAAATTGTCTGTTTCTTTTCTGGAAATTTCTGCCTTGACCCTGAACCAGACATCATTTCATTCCTGATTTGCAGCCACTGTCACCTACCTGCTCTTCCCATGTTCAGGTGTCCTCCCTCCCATCCCTTCTTGCACCAAGCCAGAGTGATAGAGCATGTAAAGCTGGCTTGTGACTCCGCCCGCTCAAAACCCTTCCATGGTTCCCAGGTGCCCTCAGAGTAAAGACTGAACTTCAACAACAGAGTTCAGTGATTTAGGTCATTTGACTGGTTCAACTGACCTAAGAAGGCTCCTCCGCTTACCATATGAATTTAGGCAAACCACTTCAATGCCTTAACTGCCCCATCGGTAAAGGCCACGAAATAGCGGCCTTCCTGGGTTGTGAGGATGAAGTGGGTGATCGTGCAGGAAGATACCGAGTAAATCTCTTAGTACGGGGCCTTCCACAGATCAAGCACCCTGTGTTAGCTCTGGTTATCTATCTATCACTCCTTCCATATCCCTCCCGGGCACACCCCTGAGGTCCCTGCCCTGTCCCCCCCCCCCCCCCCGCCGAACTTCTTCACCTCTGCCTGTAGACCCTCACAGCAGCCTGGTGCTCTGTGCTCCCCCTTTTCTGGCCCAGCTCCAGCCCCCAGCCCTTGAGCCTGCATCTGTGTGCCCCGAGCTGCCTCCCAGGGCTCCGAGCACCCTGCAGGTAGAGCCCGAAACTGTCGGTCTTTCCCAGACCCCAGCCCAGGAATATCTGTTGGTCTTGTGCGTGCAACTCGGGGAGAAAAAGGGGAAGTGAGAGGGGGTGTATGTGGGGAGGTAGGGGCTCCCACCTCTTGGAGCAGCCCCTCCAGGTAGGCAAAGCTAGGCCGGTCGGCGGGGTGGGGGGCCCAGCAGCGCAAGGCCAGGGCGTAGAGCGCCCTGGAGCAGAGGGGAGGCCGAGGCAGCCGGGCCCGGTCCTGCTCCAGCCGCTGCAGGATGAGGTATGGCGGGACTCCGGCCCACGGCTCCTCGCCCCCGGAGAACATCTCCCACAGCGTCACCCCAAACATCCACACGTCCGACGCAGAAGAGAAGGCCCCCTGGCGCAGGCTCTCTGGCGCACACCTGCGGAAACGCAGCTGAAAGGGGCGCCCAGGGCCCCCTCTCCCCGCCCACTCCCGCGGCGCCACCACTGTTCTCGGTGACCTCCTTCCCCAGCCCTTCCAGAATCCTCCTCCCGGCCTCCCTGGGGGGACCGGTGCACCCGCCCCGCCCGGAGCCGGACGGGTGCCCTCGCGATCGGCCCCCGTCGGCCCCTCACCAGGCGTAGGGGATGGGGCGGGGCCCGCCCATGACGTAGCGGCCCCGGGCGCCGCGCAGCGGCCGCACCAGCCCGAAGTCGGCCACCTTGATGGTGCGCGGGGAGGCCAGCAGCAGGTTGCGCGTGGCGAGGTCTCGATGCACCAGCCCGCGGGCCCCCAGGTACGCCATGGCCCCCGCCAGCTGCCGCAGGAAGAGGCAGAGCAGGGCCACGGGCAGCGGGGGTGTCGGGGGCGGGGCGGTCAGGCGCGCGTGCAGGGAGCCCAGGGGCGCCAGCTCCATCACCTGTGGGAGCGCGGCGCCGCGTGAGCAGGGGTCCGCTTCCTCCCCCCCCCCCGCCCTGCCCCAGCACGGGACCCTGCCCCCGCCCCCTGTCGCGCCCCTGTCCTGGGAACCACTGTCCCGGTCTGCTCACCATCTGCAGGGGCTGGCCCAGTACGAGGCCGTGCAGACGCAGCACGTGTGGGTGTTCCAAGTTCATCATGATGGACACCTCTCGAAGGAAGTCCCCCAGCTCTGTGCCCACGGGGCCTTCAGGACCCACCCGGAGGGATTTGACAGCCACTGGGACCTGGGGAGTGGGGGGAAAGGACACTATCTGGCACCCAGAGCAGAGAGGGCGTGCAGGGCCGAGGGGCAGTGAAAAGAAGAGAAAAGAAAAGAAGAAAGGAAGGAAAGAAAGAAACCAGAGGGGTAGCTGGCCCCAGCACCCAGAATGAAGCAGGCTCCTCGGACTCACACTCTGGCCGCCGGGCAGTGTCCACAGCCCTCGGTGAACCACTCCAAAGCAGCCAGAGCCCAGCAGCTCCCCTCTGCACACAGCACCATCAGGGATCAGACACTTGAGTCCCCCCTCCGGCTCAGGGAGGGTCAGGGGGCTGTCTGGAGCTGGGGTGGTCTCCTTCTGCTCAGGTGCAAAACCCCCAAGGATCTGAAGCAGGGGTGGGAAATCAAGTGTGTAGAACCCTGTACCACTCCTCCCTGACACTCAGCCCACCCCATTCCCGGTCCTAAGCTGGCCCTTTTTAAGTCTATCGCCCCCACCCCAAAATGCACACCTTGTAGACCCAGTTCTTTGACTTGAACCCCGAACGGTGCTTCTTCAGAGCTTCGGCCAGTCTGCGCTGGGCTGGGGAAGGTCAGAATCAGGGGACATGGGTGGTTCACGATGGGCAGTGGGGGGGGGGGGCGTGCAGAAGGATTTACAGGCCAGAAGAGGGCTGGTGGGGGGAAAGGAGGGGTTAGAAAGTACCAGGCTGGGGAAGAAGAGAGCATGGGGTCCCTTACCGGGCCGGCCCATGCCAATGCCGTCCAGGTCCTCGGGCCTGACAAAGTCGAAGTGCTCTGGCCGGGTAACATTAAGTTCCTCGAGGATGGGTCGGTAAAACTGTGCCAGCTGGATGTCCCGGAGCAGCCGAAGCAGCCACAGCGAACCCACCTCGGGGAGCATGTCTGCAGAAGGAATCCCTGAGGACGACGCACCCACCTCGACACCTAGCCCAGGGTAAGTCCCTGAGACACGGAGACAGCAGAAACGGGGTCTCCAGCTCCACTCCCCCCACCCATCAGACACACTCAGGTGCAGAGGGAGGGATGGGTCAAAGACAGCCAGGAATCCGGCCACTCACACAAACCCCAGGAAAAATGCTCCCCATACCTGAGACCTACATATGGTCCCCACCTCACACCTGAGATTTCAGTGCTCTGCAGACCTCAGGTATGTTCCTCTGTCAACTCTTGAGATAGAATGGCACCCTGCCCCTGCACCCCTAAGACACCAGGGGACCACACACCTGCCAGCGATGCCCAGATATGCTAACCCACCGTTAGGTGTGGTTCCGCCTCAGCCATGCAGAAGCACCCACACTCACACAGGTATATTACTTCCTACACTTGAAACGCTGCTACTCACACGCACTGAGACCTACAGACATGCTGCAAAAGAAGGCTGAGACACCCAAATACCTGGCCTTTCAAGTCCGAGACATTCCAGAATGCTGCCATGGAACACCCCGGCTTACTGCCGCATAACCTCTCACATACGCCTAGGGGTGACACTGCGGGTCACTACCTCCGAGACATACCGCCCCACGTGTCTGAGACATCAAGGTCCACAGAAACACACAACACACGAGACACCCAGGTGCCGTGTGCACACACACCTTAACTATGGCGGGCATACCGCCCCTCAGCTCAGAGATGTCCAGGGTCACCGCGTTTTCGGCACCCAAGGCAGCAACGCTTGAAATGACATTGGGCATTTGCGATTGGTGGTTAGGTGCAGGCTGAGCTAAGCTCGGGTACTGCCTACCGAGCCAGGTGCTGCCAGGTGCACAGTGCCTTCCACACCCACCTGCGCGCAGCTCCAGGTACAGGAGCCCTGCCCGCACACCTGAGTCACTCAATCTAACTTGGCTGCCAGGCAACGCCACCAATCTTTGTTAACTAAGGCCGGGTGCCCTGGGCGCTGGCTGCCTGCACCACACTCTCCCTAACACGCGCCTGGACCCGTCTCTCCCCCCCACTTTAGTTAAACCAGGAGGAAGGGCTGGACTAGGGACGGGCGTGGGGAGGGGCGGGGGGGGAGGGAGGCCAGGACCCAGGGAGACCCGGGACCGCCTGCAAGGAGAGGTAGGGAAAGCACGCGAAGGGGGACGGGAGGAAAGGCGGCCGCAGAAGGGAAGGACCGGGGGAGGGGAGGAAGCGGAGGAGAACAGGGCACCTGCGGACGCACCCCAAGCAGCGGCTGCTCAACCAGCCCCAGCCCCCGGCGTCCCCGCTCCCCTGGAGCCTCACCTGGCGAAGGCGGAAGCAGCGGCTGCCGAGCCGCCCTGGCCGCCAGCACTAAATCCCAGGGGGGCGGGGCCGCAGGCCGTGGGGGCGGGGCCTGGCGCCCGGCGGGGCAGCCCCCACCACGCCCCTCGCCCCCCCTCGCTCCGGCCCGGACCGCCTGCGGGGGCGCCCCCACCGCGGCCTGCGGGCCCTCCTCCGCCCTGCCGTCCCCGAGAAACCCTTCCCCAGTCTTTTCCCTCTCTCCTCCTCCACACCCTCTTTCCCGCCTCTTTCAAAGACCTTTTCACCCCTCCGAGACTGCCTCCTGGGGGTCCTGTCCCCCATGAAATCTTTCACCTCTCCCGGCCAGAGCCCCACCCCTTACACGAATAAGCACCAGATGGAGAAATGTTGCCCATGCCCTGGGAATATAAGGCTAAACAGGACCTCGTCCCTGCCCCCTAGCAGGGGAGAGAGCGTCCCTAGCCCCCATATGGAGGAAGGCAGGGTGGCACGGGGCGCTTTGAAGTGGAGCCAGGGCAGACAGGAACCATTGCTGGTGCAGGAAGTCAGCCCCCAGTCTACACGGAGTCTAAGATTGGAGCCATTGTCGGTGTCGCAGCTCTGAACGTCGGTCCAACGTGCTGCCCGCGAAAGGGACCTTTTGGGAGCTCCCCAGGGTAGAACATGTGGGAGGTCTTGTGTGTGGGTGGGCTCCTGACCCCCATCCCAGCTTGGTACCTGGTCTCCGTGGTCCAGGGCAGCACCCCATGCTTCAGGGCACCCCTCCCCATCACTGGCATTTAACTGGCCTCATTCTGGCTCAACCCTCCTTCCCCCATGTAGTCTCTGTACACCCGCTACCTGGATGGTGGCCACAGGACAAAGTCTAGCACCTCGGAGAAGGCTCTGAGGAGGAGCATCCCTCCTCTCCCTTTCCCTCAGGGGTCCCGGGGAGGAAGTCACAAGTCTCAGGACATCTGGCCTGTCTCCTTCTGTCCTGAGGAAGGATGTGTGAACTATTCCTAGAGTCCCTTGGAGGGAAACGTCTCCCCCATCTTGGTGAGCACACAGGATATTCCAGCACTGGTGGGAAAATTTTCATAGTCCACAGTTGAACCTGTTTGCTTTCCTTGCCTTTTCTTGCCCTCCAATGAGGACAGCTCATCACGCTATGATTGCTCACTCCACATCTGATGTCCCTGATATACTGTGGGTTCCACACAGTAGGGGCTGGATCTGTCCTGTTCATCCTTGTGTTTTTTGTTTTTTTTTTTAGATTTTATTTATTAGAAAGAGTGAGAGCACAAGCAAGGGGAGCAGGAGAGGGAGAAGCAGGCTCCCCATCAGCAGGGAGCCGGACGCAGGGCTCAATCCCAGGACCACAGGATCATGACCTGAGCCAAAGGCAGACGCCCAACCCCTGAGCCACCCAGAGGCCCCTCATCCTTGTGTTCTTAATACCTAGAACAATGTAGGCATGTAATAGGTACAGTACGTCTTGTTTTTGAAGAAATCTGCTCAGTCTAATTGTCATTCCTCTGTCAGTGATCTGTTCTTTCTCCCTGTTTTTAAGACATCATTGGTATTTTGTAGTTCTCTCACAAAGTATCTAGGTATGGATTATTTTTTACTCATTCTGATTAGTGTCTTGTATTTCCTGTATCAATGAATTCGTATCTTTCATTGGTTTTAGAAAATTCTCGGCTAGTATCTCCTCAAATGTTGTGTTTCCTCCATTCTTTGGTTCTCCCCTTTGGGGACTCTGATTAGAAGTATGCTAGACTTTTTTACTCTGTTCTTCATGTCATTTAAACTCTCTTCGAGCGCCTGGGTGGCTCAGATGGTTAAGCGTCTGCCTTCGGCTCAGGTCACGATCCTGGAGTCCTGGGATCGAGCTCCGCATCGGGCTCCCTGCTCCTTGGGAGCCTGCTTCTCCCTCTGCCTCTCTCTCTCTCTCTCTGTCTCTCATAAATAAATAAATAAAATCTTTAAAAAAAAATAAAAATAAAAAAATAAACTCTCTTCTATATCTTTCAATCTTTGTGTTACTGTGATGCAATCCAGGTAATCTCCTTAGGTCTGTATTCCAGTTCACTGATTCTCTCTTTGGTTATGTCTGATGTGCTGTTTCATCCATACTCTGAGGGTTTTTTGTCATTGTTATATTCATATGAACATTAGTATACTTTGCTGACAGTACTTTATTGAGGTATAACTTACATTCAGTAACGTGCCCAGATTTAACTGTATAGCTCAATGCATTTCTTTTTTTTTTTTTAAAGATTTTTATTTATTTATTGAGAGAGAGAGAGAATGGTAGAGAGAGAGCATGAGAGGGAGGAAGGTCAGAGGGAGAAGCAGACTCCCTGCCGAGCAGGGAGCCTGATGCGGGACTCGATCCCGGGACTCCAGGATCATGACCTGAGCCGAAGGCAGTCGCTTTAACCAACTGAGCCACCCAAGCACCCTTTTTTTTTTTTTAAAGATTTTTGTTTAAGAGAGAGAGAATGAGGGACAAGCGGACTCCCCACTGAGCATGAAGCCCTGATGCAGGGCCCAATCCCAAGACCCCAAGACCCCAAGACCATGACCTGAGCTGATGTCAGATGCCTAACTGACTGAGCCACCCAGGCACCCCAGCTCAATACATTTCAATCAATAAACACGTGTATTAATGCAGATAAAGACCCAGAACATTTCAGTGATCCCAGAAACTTGCCTTGTGTCCACGTTCAGTCAATTCCATTGTCCAGAGGCAATGACTATCCTGATTTCTAAAACCCATAGATCACTCTTGCTTGCTCCCAACCTTCTTATCAATGGAGTCACATGCTGTAATTGCATTTGGCTTCTTGGACTCAACACGTTTTGTTTTTTAATTTCTTTTGAAAGATTTTATTTATTTATTTGACAGAGACACGGTGAGAGAGGAACATAAGCAGGGGGAGTGGGAGAGGGAGAAGCAGGCTTCCTGCTGAGCAGGGAGCCTGACGTGGGGCTTGATCCCAGGACCCCGGGATCATGACCTGAGCTGAAGGCAGACGCTTAACGACTGAGCCTCCCAGGCGCCCCTCAACACGTTTTTTTTTTTTTTTCCTCAACACATTTTTGAAATTCGTCTCGGTGTTGTCCAAGTTCTTGGTGGGAATCACATAGCTCCATGAGCTTCTTCAGCGAAGAGCACGTGACACCTGATTTTTCTCTGAACGTCCAGCGTCTTCACAGATCTGGGTGCACCAGAGGTCCTCTGGGAGTTGAACACATACGTGTAGAGGACGTGGGGCTATATGAAGGCAGCTGCCGCCAGAGAGGTTGGCAAAAGCCAGGCCAGGCATCAATTCATCCTTCAGCAAGCCTTCACTGTGCCAGGTTCTGGGGACCCGGGCGGACAAGCAGACATGATCCCTGGCCTGGTTAGATTCGCTTTACAGGGCCTTGGAGAACACGGTCAGGAGCTTGGGCCTTACCTGAGGGCTCTGATAACCACTGAACGGTTTCAGCAGAGAAGTGACAGAACCAACCTGCTGTGTAAGCTGGACTCTGGGCCTAGGTCCTCTATACTCCAGCAGGAAACCAGACAGATTTTCCAGCAGGAAACCGGACACAGGCTCAGCCCCACCTTTGTCTTTAGCTTGGAAAAAACCCAGGGAATCAGAGGCCTCTTTATTCCTCCCCCTTCTCCCTATTCATGTCTTATTTCTGGAGTTAAGCTTCTCTCAACCCCACCTGTGTGGGGGAGCACTGCCGGACCACCCTTGGGGAGCAGCCCTTC